ACAAAGAATTTTTTTAAAAAAGATTTATATCTCAAAATTTTGTCTACAAAACCATCTTTGAAGCTCTAATAAAAAAAATTTTTTGCCAAATTTTATTATATAAAACACTCTAATCCTAACCTTAACTAACTATAACTTTACCCTTACTCTAATCTTAAAAAAGGCTAATTTTTTGTTTTAATAAAAATTATTTATTTTTTTTTATGCATTGTAAATCACAGGTAATAATTACCTATAGTGATTTTTAGTTATTTTCTAAATTTATATACTTTTACTTTAATCTGATTTTTAATTTTTAAGCTCAACTTTATTATACATAATGCTAAAAAAAAATTATAACAATATAATAAAATTTTTATTATATATTATTTAAAAATTCTTAATTTATATATATATAAAGAAAAATTAGCTATACTAGTATAAGTAGATATTATAATACACTTACTATGTTTTTTGATGATATAGTCAAACTCCCCTAAGTGCACACTTCCTAAGTGCACACCCTCTCTATATGCACACCATAGCCCGGCCTCAAGCTTGGGACTTAAGTGCCTTCTATATTCTGCACGTGCAACAAATTTCAGAGCTTAAAGTATATATATGCACCCCTATAAATGCATATATGTGAATAATCTTAAAATGGACCAATAAAAAAGAGTTTTTTATATAGAAAGGCCATCATTAAATAGCGATTTTTTGCACACAGTTATCGGTTTAATGTGACTAATTAATTGACATTTTTGTTATTTTTTAAATGTACTTGTGGTTTCGACTTAATTTTGTTTGTCTTTTATTAAGAGATAGGTGTCATGTGTTATTTGCTCTTACTAAAAATTATTTCGCACAGGATGTAAGACGATTTCATAAAATTAAAATTTTATTTAGTACAAGATATGAAGTCATTTTGTAATTGTACTATACGCACGTACGTATGTATAGTACATACCCGATACAGTATCCAAATTTTTATTCATCATATTACAAGCGTAAAAAAAAAAAATGAAATTTATAAAATTAGAATTTTTTTTTTTTAGAACAAGTGAAAAAAAAAAAAAATTCTAGAACATTATATAAAACATTTAATATGATCTGTTTAATTGTTTTTCATAAAAAATTGATCAATCCTGCTTTGTTGCATTTGGCTAACCTTTGTCTTTTTGATAAATTTTTCAATCCTTCTCACGAGATTAACATATGGGGGTGAGTCAATAGAAACGCACCAAATTTTTTCTAAGTAAATTTTTTTAAAACTTTGAACAAAAATAACTTAACAATAATTTAATCAAATTTAATAAAAATTTTTTTAAAATAATTCTAATAACTTATAGAAATTATTTAAAAAAAAATTTACTAGATTTGATCAAGTTTTTGTTAAGTTATATTTGTTTAAAATTTAAAAAAATTTTATTAAAAAAGATTTGGTGCGTTTCTATTGACTCACCCCTATATTCTTCTATACAATCCTGCTGAAGCAAAAACATACACATGGTTTTCAAACTTGCAATTGCCATGTTGGTACTAACAATGGGGGCTTCAAAGCTATCATCTTCATCTTCCAAGTCAATGTTTATTGGTTTATTTGTTCTAAATGTTTCAACAAGCTCTGTAATAACTTGATCATTGGAAGGAACTTCATAAGCGATATTTTCTTCAGGGATTGCCAAATACTCTTCAACTTGTATAGAGTCAAGAAGGTTAAGGATGTTAAGTGTATCGGCAATATCGTTGAGAACTGGGTTAGTGGTTTGGCGAAAATTCTCTAAAGAACTTTGTAAATCAGAGTTGGCATTTGCAGAAAGAATCTTTGTGTAATATCAACAATTGCGAATTGTGTTGGCTTTAACTTTGTCCCACCCTTGAATGATAAAATAGATAGCTTGTAATATATTCATTTTTAAATCTTCTGCATGCTATCCATTTTCAACTTTTAGTAATATCCAACTTAAAAAAAAAGCTAATTAGTGTAATATTCAGATATTTTTATTTTTATTTTTTTTTACTAAAAAATTACCGAATATGAAGGCGATAATAATTCCTCTTGAAACTCATAATGATACTGGCATCCATGGGCTGAATCCTCGAGGTTGTATTTGGGGGCAAAAATAAAACCTCAGTAAATCGAAGAGTAATATTGCCAATATCATGGCTAGGGCAGTTATCAAGAAGTAAAAGCACACGTTGGCCCTGATACTTCAAACCAACTTGGCGATCAAATTCAAGAATCCACTCATGAAAAAGAGATATAATCATCCAGGCTTTAGTACTGTTTCTGTATTTCATAGGCAAATTACTAATTCTGATGTTTTTAAAGTAGCGCGGTTTTTTGTACTTTCTAATTACAAGTGGATCTATTTTGTGAGAGCCATCCGCGTTTGCACACAACACAATCAAGAGACGTTCCTTGTTTTTTTTACGTCCAGAAAGACGTTGGGTTGCCAATGTATGATTAGGTTCCAACCTGAAGGTAAATTTTTTAGTATTGCATTGAAAAAAAAAAAAAAAAAAACAGAATTTAAACGGATAAGAAAATTTTATTTAAATTTAATAACAGAGAAGTTGGGTTAGAGTCAATATTGAGATTAAATAGAATAAGAAATTTCTATTTCTATTTGTTCTGCCAAGGGAAAAATATAATTGAAAGCCTGATAACAGGTTTTTTCTTGGCAATACTCATTTAGACATATACAGTATGTTGCAAAAAAAACCAGAATTAAAAATTGTGTAACTGTGATGCAGCAGTATTATTAAAATTAAATAAAATTTATACAATTTATAATATATAACTAGATATTTATTTATTAAAAAAA